GGGGTTTCATCAGTCTCTATAAGACCAGTAAGCCTGGTCATTCATATATATATATAAAATTTTGAGTTTTGTTCCACATTTTTCTCCCACTCTATCCAAACCAAGAACCAAACTCCCTGCCATTAAGTCAATTCCAACTCATAGTGACCCCCATTGGGTTTCCAAGGCTGTAAATCTTTACAGAAGCAAATTGCCTCATCTTTCTTCCACAAAGCATCTAGTGGGTTCGAACCACTGCCCTTTTGGTTAGCAGCCAAATGCTTTAACCACACCACCACCAGAGCTCCTGCCACCTCTATCCAGGATCTCCTATCTTGATGCCTTCCTCTGGAACACTCTTCCCAGAAGACCATCACGTGGCTGGCCCAGGTCTCTATGCTAATGGCTTCTTATCAGTAAGGCCCCATCATTCCATGTAAAAGAATGCACCCCGTTTTATTTTTCATCACAGCCCTTGTCAACGCACTTAGCACACACATTGTATTTCCCTGTCCACTGACCCCATCTCCTCTCAGTAGACCACAAGGCCTTGCTGTTCTGAGCTGCCCACCAGTGTTTCTCTGGCATCTCACCCAGAGCTTGGCACAGGGGAGATTCTCAACAGTATCTGCTGGAAGAAGACAGAAAAGCTACACATCATTTCCAATTCTCACACAAACCCAGTGGTTAAATGGTTTGATAGGTGAGAAAAGTGAGGCTCAGAGGGGTTCCATAACTCATTGAAGTCACAGAGCTGGTAAGGGGTGGACTTGGCCTCCAGCTCAGGATCTTCTGACCTAATGTCTGTCCTCCCTTGCACTGGCCCCATCCTCCCCAAGCAAGAAAGACTCTCTCAACAGCAAGACTTGGCCTTAGGAACCCGGGGCCATCTTGTTATCCTAGAAGAATAAAAACTTGAGAGGAAAAATAGCTCCCAAGAGTCAAGTGGTTTGCCCATCACACTTAAAATTATTTGAGGCCTGCCAGTAAATACTACTGGAGGCTTTAAAAATTTTAATATTTAAGTCAGGTCCAGAAATGGAAACTGGGCCAGACCTGTCATTAAAATAAATTAAAACCAAACCAAAACAAAAAACTAACTATGCTCAGAATATCTCCAAACAGAATAAGAATATTTCTAACCAAAAGTACATAATAGATATTTTGGTTCTTCCCATTCCTTTGGATTGGTTCAGGGAGGGGACTTCTGTAAACAGGCATGGACTCCACCAGCAGATACAGCACTGCCTGTCTGACAGACGTCATTTCCACCCTCTGAGTAAGGGCCAAGCAGAACATGCAAAAGAGAAGGGACAAATCTTTAACAGGTTTTCAACTCAAGCCCCGTTTTACCACCCCACTGCATGCCCTGGAAGGGACAGTCTGGGGACAGGAGATGTCCCCGGAAATGAATATAATACCACCACTTGGGGCAAATCATGTCCTTTCCCTGGGCCTCAGTTTCCTCAGCTCTACATGACAGTTTGGGATGAGATGATGTCTAAGAGCCCCTCTTGTCCTAAAAAAAAAATGATATCATCTCTCCATTTTAATTGAGTTCTGTTCTGACGCCAACTTCTAACCATCCACACTAAGAGGACATACCTGAAAATCAATGCACATCTGGGAGCATTCTTCTAGAAATCCTTACGATAGACTCCTTGCCTTCAGAATAGACCAAGTCCTCAGCAGCTGGAGTGTTAGGGAAGAGTCACACTAGCTCCTCCATTCTCTCAAGTAGAGGTAGGAATGGTCAGAGAGAGGCTCAGAACAAGATCTGAGAGAGGAGACAAGGGCACAGAGAGAGACAGTAACAACTTGTG